TTCCTGTTCTCAAGAGGAATGGTTTCAGTCTCTCTCCATTGAGGGTAATGTTGGCTGTTGGTTTTGCATAAATGCCTTTTATTATGTTGAGGAATATCCCTTCTATTCCTATTTTGCTGAGAGTTTTGATCATAAATGAGATCAAATGCCTTTTCTACATCAATTGATATGATCATGTGGTTCTTCTCCTTTGTTTTATTTATGTGGGTATCCCACCATCTTTCACAGATAATTATCTTTTAATGGGGCAAGAAATGTTGTATCTCACCAACTCACCAAACCTGGTAAAATGTATGCAAAGCCAAGGACTCTCAGTGCCTCTGTGGCAGACATAATATTGCAGTTGTGAATAAAATGTAATGTGACGTTCCCTTGAATAAAAACCCTTAGTATCACAGGCCAAGCAACTCTGGTGGCACAGTGGTTATAGCATTCGACTTCTAATCTATCGGTTAGTGGTTTGAACCCACTGGCTACTCCACAGGAGAAAGATGAGATGGGAAGTCTGCTTCTGTAAAGATTTATAGCCTTAGAAACTCTATGGGGCAGTTCTACTCTGTCCTGTAGGGTCACTATGAGTCAGAATCGACTCAATGGCAGTAGGTTTAATTTTGGGGGCTTAGTATCATAAGCCAGGGAAATAGGAACACAGAGATGTATTTGTAGTCTTTGGGAGAGCATAGTCACCAAGTCTTCACTAAATATTCCACTGCATCGTGGTAACAGTTGGAGAAAACTTTCTAGCTTTGCACTGGTGGTATTTTCTTTAGATTGGTTATCATTAGCACTGCTTTTATACTTTATTCTTCTGCACTACTTTTATAATTTGTACATTATAAAAGGCCAGCATTAGTACTACTGTATGTTATGAAAAGAAACAAGTTGAATTGGAAATAAATACAATGTCCCAGTATGATATATATACTTCTGGAAATGGAAATGCATAGAATTCCTAAATCTGGTCTTTAAAATTATATGACTGGTATTTTTGTTTTATTTTGTTGGGGTATTGCAGTAATACCTGTTGTATTGATTTGTGAGCTATGAATTTTCTTTCTGTCGTATTATATGTAGGAGTGGGCAAGAGCTTTGTTCTTTCTTTTTTTTTTTTTTTGGTGCCCTATCTGTGGATGTTGTTATGTGCCCTGGAGTTGAACGGCACATAACAACAACATCTGTGGATAGTTGAGTAATACAGAGTTGATGAGAAATATTACCAAAAAGGTGGCCCATGTTTTTATCAACGAAAAATACTCTTTCACATGCTTTCTGATTTATTCTTATTGGAAATGAACATTATTGGCTCCTGGAATGCCACTGAAAAATTATAGTTTTTTTTAAATGAACTATATAATGTTTAAATGACAGATGAACGAGGTTGGTTAGAAAAAAGTTTTCAGCTAGGTGATCCTTTCAGTAAGCATTACAGTTTTTTTCTATCTTATTAAAAAATATTTCATTAAATATTCTCCCTTAGAGTATCATTTTTTTAACAGAAAATGCAGGTAAGTTAAAAGAATCAAGATCATTATAACTGTCTTATATTGTTGTCTTTTAAAATAATATACTCATGTGACCGGCTTTTCTTTTTTTTTTCATATGAAAAATAGTATAGTATTATGAGGTTTCAGAGAAGAAGTAAGAAGGCATGTATTTTTAAAATTAATATGCTTCCTTTAAAAAAGTATGTTTTATTGAAATATAATTTATGTACAGTGAATGCACAAAACTAAAGTGACATGGGTCAATGCATTTTTTTCCTTTCAGTATTCCCGGCTACCTTGGTGACCAACAAAGGAAGTTTCCTTCCATATATAAACCTTTCCTTAACTTTTTATAATATCGAACTAATAAGATATTTATCCTGCTGTGATTGACTTATTTCACTCAGCATAATGTACTCCAAGTTCATCCAAGTTATGTGGCGTTTTGCAGATTCTACATTATTCTTTAGTGTTGCTTTATATTCCACTGTATGTATGTACCATAATTTAGTTATCCATTCTTCTGTTGATGGGCACTTAGGTTGTTTCCATCTTTTTGCTATTGTAAATAGTGCTGCATTAAACATAGGTGTGCATATATCTGTTCTTATCCTGGCTCTCACTTCGTTAGTATATATAGCTAGTAATGGGATTTCTGGGCCAAGTGGTATTTCTAATTCCAGCTTTTTAAGGAATCGCCATACTGCTTTCCACAGTGGTTGTATTATTTTATAGTTCCACCAGCAGTGTATGAGAGTCCCAATCTCTCCACATTCTTGCCAGCTTTTGTTATTTTCTGTCTTATAGAATTTTGCCATTAGTGCTGGGGTGAGATGGTATCTTGTTTTGATTTACATCTTTCTAAGGGCTAATGATTGTGAATATTTCTTCATGTATTTGCTGGCTGCCTGAATATCCTCTTTGGTGAAGTGTCTATTCACGTCTTCTGTCCGTTTTTTTAAAATTGGTTTTTTAATCTTTTTGTTGTTGAGGTATTGGAGATCTCTATAAATTTTAGAGATAAGTCCTTTGTCAGTTATGTCATTGCTGAATATTTTTTTCCAAACTGTGGGTTCTCTGTTGATTTCTTTTGGAGAACTCATTGGAAGCACATAAAAATTTAATTTTTAGAAGGTCTCATTCATCTAGTTTATCTTCTGCTGTTTGTGCATTTTGGGTTATGCTTGATAATCTATTTATGCCATAAATTAGGGCCCCTAAATTTGCCCCTATTTTTTCCTTGAGGCATTTTATAGTTTTAGGTTTCACATTTAAGTCTTTGATCCATCTGGAGTTCACTTTTATGTATGGTGTGAGGTACAGATCTTGTTTCATTTTTCTGCAAATGGATCCAATTTTGCCAGCACCCTTTGTTAAAGAGACCATCTCTCCCCCATGTAATAGATCTCTTATGGTCTCTTGCAGTAGTGATTTGTAGTTTTCTTTGTACAGGTCTTTTGTGGGTCTAGTGAGATTTATTCCCATGCATTTTATTTTTTTGGTAGCTATTGTAAATGGTATTGATTTCCTTTTCAGGAATCTCTTTGCTGGTGTAGAGAAATCCAGCTGATTTTTGTATGTGGATCTTGTATCCTGCCACTATGCTAAATCTCTCAATTACTTCCAGTAGTTTTTTTTTTTTTTTTTGCTGAGTTTCATGCGTTTTCTAGTTACCGGATCCTATCATCAGCAAATAGGGATAGTTTGACTTCTTTCTTACCATTTTGGATGCCTTTGATTTCACTTTCTTGCCTTATTGCCCTGGCTAGGACTTCCAGTACAATGCTGAATAGACGAGGTGATAAAGGGCATCCTTATCTAGTTCCTGTTCACAAGGGGAATGGTTTCAGTCTCTCTCCATTGAGAATAATGTTGGCTGTTGGTTTTGCATACATGCCCTTTATTATGTTGAGGGATTTCCCTTCTATTCCAATTTTTTTATCAAGAAAGGATGTTGGATTTTATCAAATGCCTTTTCTGCATCGATTGATTGGATCATGTGGTTCTTTTCCTTTGTTTCATTTATATGATGGATGATGTTGATTGCTTTTCTAATGTTGAACCATCCTTGCGTACCTGATATGAACCCCACTCGGTCATAATGATTTTCTTGATAAGTTTTTGGAGTCTTTTGGCTAGGATTTTTTTTGAAGATTTTTGCATGTATGTTCATGAGGGATATTGGTCTTTAGTTTTCCTTTTGAGTGATGTCTTTGCCTGGTTTTGGTATTAAGGTTATACTTGCTTCATAAAATGAATTTGGGAGGATTCCATCCTTTCTGTGTTTTGGAATAGTTTGAATAAGATTGGTGTCAGTTCTTCTCTGAATGTTTGGTAGAATTCTTTGATGAAACCATCTGAGGCAGGACCTTTTTTTTGTTGGTAATTTTTTTATGACCTGTTCAATTTCTTCTTTTGTTATGGGTCTATTTAATTTTTCAATATCACCCTCTGTTGGTTTAGGTAAGTAGTATGTTTCTAGAAATCTGTCCTTTTCTTTTAGATTTTTGAATTTGTTGGAGTATAATTCTTCATAGTATCCTGATATTATCTTTTTAATTTCTGTTGGTTCTGTTGTGGTTTCACCCAATTCATTTTTTACTCGTGTTATTTGTATTCTCTCCCTCTTTTCCTTTGTTAAATTTTCCAATGGTTTGTCAATTTTATTAATCGTTTCAAAGAACCAACTTCTAGTCTTGTTGATTTTTTTCTATTGTCTGTTTTCTGTTTTACTCATTTCTGCTTGAATCTTTATTATCTTTTTTCTCCTGGTGACTATAGGCCTTTTTGGTGCTCTTTTTCTAATTGTTGGAGGTGTTGATTTTAGCTTTTTCTTTTTTGATGTGTGCATTGGTATAAATTGGCCTCTGATCACTGCTTTTGCTGTGTCCCAAAGATTTTGGTATGTTGTGTTTTCATTCTCGTTTGATTCAAGAAATTTTTTTATTTCATTTTTTATTTCTTCTGTTACTCAGTTGTTCTTAAGGAGGGTGTTATTCAGTTTCCATGTGTTTTTTCTTTTTCTGTTCATCTTTCTATTGTTGATTGCTAATTTAACAGCATTGTGATGTGAGAAGATGCTCTGCAGTATTTCATTGAATATCCTATTCTCTTAATTGATAAAATGAACTTTATGTTCCAAAATTGTAAATGTAGCTTGAGTTTTTCAAAGTACACCAATGACAATTAATACTTCAAAGAATACATCATGCTTGCTTTGTATATGATTGGATTAAAAGCAATCTTTAATTTTTAGGAGACCCGAGGAGACCATACCCAACGGATTTGGAGATGAGAAGTGGGCTGTTGGGTCAGATGAACAATCCTTCCACTAATGGTGTGAACGGGCATTTGCCTGGGGATGCACTCGCAGCAGGCAGATTGCCAGGTAATGCCACAAACATGTTTTCACATTCTGAGGGTTTTTCAGACATGAAAATGGTGTAATAACTTGCTGTGAACAGGTTTGAGGTTCCAGATCACAGCTTCAAACTGGTTCATTCTAGTTTGACCCCTTGCTGAGAGCTCTGGTAGCATAGTGCCTAAGGCACTTGACTGCTAACCAGAAGGCTGGCGGTTCAAACCCACCAGCCACTCCTCGGAAGGAAGGTTGGGCAATCCTACTTCCGTAGTGATACTGCCTCGGAAACCCAAGGAGGGGTCGCTATGAGTCGGGGCCGACTCAACAGCAAATAACAACAACAACACCCCACATATACTGAGTCAAAATCTATATTCTAACAAGATCTGTGGCAAGAATCTGTAGATAGTTTTGTTAAAATGTAGATTCTGATTCAGTATATCTGGGGTGCAAATGCAAATTCTCAGCAGGGGGTTGAATCAGAATGGACCTGGATGGGGCAAAGCTCTGTTCCAGACGCAACTCATTTTAATGTCTAGATTCTGTCAGTTTATCCTGTTCTCTGGTTGGTTGTTTTAGCTTAAAGACTTATAGATGGATGTTATAAAATTAAAATTGGTTCTCATCTTTCATTTGTTAGTATTATATCATCTTCCTCAAGCATTGGGCCTCTCCTGTTTTATTATTGATGTAAACATTTTTTAAAATTTTGAAACATACTGTTTAAGAAGCAAAATATAGAAATATGTATGTTCAGTTGAAAGAATAAAAATAAAATGAGCACATTCCTGAATAGTCCCCAAGTTAACAAAATGAGTATAAATAGCTTTTTACAGACGTTTTTCTTATAGCTTTATGAAGTAGCGTTTTTATGAGCCTCGGTGTACTCTGAGCTTTAATTTTCCTAAAGTTTTCCATGCAGGCTTGTGCTTTTATTTTATGTTTCCTATCTTTCATCTTTTTTAGGTGATTTGCTGTGTTTTGATTTGATAAAATATTTGGAAAGTAGGAAAAAACATACGAGAAGAAAATTATCTTTTCTTTTTTTTCCCCTGCATGTTTTACATTGTTAAAAACAAACTCTAGATATCTTTTTTTGCTTAACAATACAATGGAAAGATATCTCTATGTTATTAAAAATGCTTTGTAAACATCATTTTTATTAGCTATGTTGTTGTAATATGCCATCAAGTCGATTTCGACCCATAGCCACCCCTCCTTGGGTTTCCGAGGCAGTATCATTATGGAACTAAATTGCTCCATCTTCCTTCTGAGGAGTGGCTGGTGGGTTTGAACCACTAGTCTTCTGGTTAAGAGTCAAATGCCTTAGGCACTATGCCACCAGAGATCATTTTATTAGTTCCATAAAGTAGAAATTGATAGACTCACTGTGCACATATTATTTCTCTTTGCTCTCTCATCTTTTTTTTAAATTTTATTTTATTGTTGAGAATATACACAACAAAACATAACACAAGTTTAACAGTTTCTACATGCACAATTTAAGTTAACTGCTTACATTCTTCAAGTTGTGCAACAACCATTCTAACCCTCCTTTTCTGCTTTGTTCCTTCTCCATTAACATAAATGAGGGGCTTGAATTCAAACTAGTTCCTACATGGGCATGAAACAAAATTGGAACAGATGTGAATTTTTAGAATGAGGATGAAACAAGACAACAGACCAGAACGGGAGAAATTATCGATTAAACCCTAGAATGGGAGACTCAGTAGAGGTGTAGTGAGCCCTTTCAGGAGCCTGATGCAGGAGATTGGATTGTTGCCAGGACTGTGGAACGTGACACACATTCAAAGCTGCAATTTGCCACCATACTACATGAGGCAATGTTGTTTGTAACCATGCTGCTGTTTTCTGACTACCGGTCAGGAAATTTAGTTGCTCTGACATGTGCCTAAGGCCCTTGTTTTCTAAACCAAAAATTTAACTCATTCCTATTGACTTGACTCCAAATCATAGCGACCCTTAGTGTTTCCAAGGCTGTAAATCTTTACAGAAACAGACTGTCTTATGTTTCTTGCACAGAGCAGCTGGTAGGTTCGAACCACTGACCTTTTTATTAGCAGCCCAATGTCTTAACCACTGCACTACCAGAGCTCCTTCTTGTTTTCTAAGAGGGAGATTACATTTCTAGCAGGGTACTGACTCTTAATTTTTCCCTTTCTGGTTATCATCCTGGTTCACCCATATTTCACCAATTCAAATCCGCTGTTTGGCTTTTGCTTCGTGAGCTATGATTGAAGTGGGAAGAACCAGTTTGAAGCCCAAAAATAAACTCACTGCCCCCTGAGGTTCCTATCTAATCTTTCTTTCAAGTTGCTGTTGTCCATTGATCCCATTTGGAGAACATAATGCTCAAGGCAGACATTCCTTACTTGTTAATAAGCTAATCTCTTCATCTTTTTTATTGTGATTATATGCCAGTCACAGTCCAGTCAGGAGGCAGAAGCCACACCAGTAATACAAGCAAGGGAAATTTAAAAAACTCTTAATTGGTAACAAGGTATTAACTATCAAGGGGGTAAAGATAGGTATTTAAAAAAAAAAAAGCTAGAGCAGATTGGGGAGCAGCCACTACATCTACAAGGCAGAGTTCCCAAGCAAGGGACAGACTTAGAAGAACTCCTCCCCACCCAGTCCCAAAGCTGATGGTCAGACTTCAGTGAAAAGGTGTGGCTGTGGCTCACTGGATGGCAGCAAAGTTAGATAAGCTACCAGAGGCCAGCAAGCCAGAAATTACCCACCGGGGTACTGGAAGACTTGCTGGGAAGCCACCCTCTGGGTTGCTTGTGAAACTTAACTCTAAAATCCCCTCTGGGATGCAACTGAAACATTGTGGGCACCAGTGAGCACCACTTTATGTCCTGCCCACCAGCTAGGCACTGCAGGCAGAAGAAGGAAAAGAGACACTGGATCTAGTAAGGGAAGCCCATTCCCCTTGCATAGTCCCTCCTTGACTAACAAAGCATAACATTGTCAGCTGGCAAAGGAGATATATTCTTATGGTCCAGCTCTGCTATCACAAAGGGCAGATTTGAAGCTAAGAAGCAGTATATTCGTAACTGGAGTGCCTATTTAGTTAGTGTCATACCTTTTTCTCTTGATGCTTTTGAAATCTGTACTTGTTTATGTGCCATCTTGCCTTTCTTCCAAAATGTAGGCTGTTAATATGTCTTGGGCATGTTTTTCTAAGATACCTTCTTCCACAGATACATAGCCAGTCAACTTTTTGATCAAAATCATCTATAATAGCAGTTCCTCTATCTTCTAAGAAATTCTTCAAACCTGTGATGATAACCCATTGCCATTGAGTTAATTTTGACTCATAGCAACCTTATAAATACAAATTGGATGGTGATAATTATACCTAATACCTATTATAACATAATATAGAATAATATATATGACCTAATTATCATGTATGTACAGATAATATATGCCTAATACATGACATTGATTTCTTAATTTTGAACATCTTACAAGAGAAAAATGTCAGCTGACTGAATAGTTACTTTTAGAGGAGTATGATTTTTTAAGAAAAAATAACAGGTACCCAGTTGCTAAAACATCACACTTTGAGTTGGTGAATTTGACCTTTATTAATTTTCTCACGTGTGTTTTGATTCAAGCCTTAAAAAGGGTTTACTTCAAATTATTTGCATGAAAGGAAGAATAATTCAGAAGTAAGTTAATTACAAGTAGAAATGTCCTCATCTGTGCATCTTTCTTTCTTCCAGATGTCCTTACTCCACAATATCCATGGCAGTCCAATGACATGTCAATGAATATGTTACCACCAAATCACAGTAATGAATTCCTGTTGGAACCACCTGGGCATAATAAGGAAAATGAAGATGATGTAGAGGTTATGTCAACAGATTCCTCAAGCAGTAGTAGTGACTCTGATTAGGGGAAAAAACATAAAAGACAAAAGGCATACAGAATTGAATACTGTAGAACTCTGTTCCTTAAACAATAGTAAGCAAATGTAATGGGCAAACTGGTAAGAATAGCCAGAGAGATACTGGCTATTGTTGAATTACACACCTATTAAAAGTCATAGGGGACTTTCTTTTTTTAAGCCAGAATGATGGGTTTCAGTCCTAATCCACTAGGCATATATTTAGGGTATATTCCATATTTACTGTTGAAAATGACATTTATTCAGTTCAGTGCTTTTTTACCCTGTTCTCTTCCAGCTGTGTTGTCCTTGTACATAGTAATTGTTGAACTAAGATTTGAGGGAAATGATCCATGTACATATCAGTAATAGACTTCCTAGAATTATTGGAAAAAACATTTTTTTAAAAAAAGGCACTGGATCACTGAGTATGCATCACATTTAGAGATAACAAAAATCCTCATTTGGAAGTAAAGGCTATTGGCCTTGGTTTCAGGAACCAGAGAAATTGTCTCAATTACTGTTTGTAATTACTGTAATATTGTAAATAAACTCACTTTTATTGTATTTTGTGCCTTTTTTGTTTTGTTTAAAATAAATCACCAGTGTAAGTAGGAAATTACTTTTGTAAATTCATTTACACTTCATACACACTGAAGTAGAATTCTGGACTGAGAATAAACATGATATAATGACTATCAGAAATAGTAATCACAACTGATAGGTTTTTCACAGGCCCATAATCCTATTCTTCTAAAAAACAAACCAAATTCACTGCCATCAAGTCATTTCCAACTCATAGCGACCCTCTTTGGGCCTCCAAGGGGTTAGATCTTTACAGAAGTAGATTGCCCAGTCTTATGCAGAGAGGCTGGTGGGTTTGAACCAGCAGCCTTCTGGTTATCAGTCAAATACCTTAGATACTGTGCTTCTAGAGCTCCTTCACTCCTATTAAATAAAATGAGGTATTTTAATAATTGAAAAAACTGAGCACAGTAATGTCTTATTTTAAGAACACATTGTATGAAAGGTTTTAGAATGGAAAATAACTGTGTCCTCTGTTGAAGTTCCCCAGAAGGAATCACTTCTAACAAAGTAAAGTCTGGTGGTTAACCTCTGTGTTTAAATAATAGGTTTATACTACTAATGATTTCTCAATTTTAGACCTGTTGTACCTTTTACATTTTTTTTTTTCCTGATTGCAAAAGTAATACGGTATCCATCATGGAACAGTAGCAAATATGGTAAAGCAAAAAATTAGCATGTCACCCAGCAATCATATCAACTAAATTTTGATACATATTCTTTATTTTCTAAAAAATTCACATATATAGATTTATTAAAATGAGAATAATATCTCCTAAGATGATTATGTATTCTAAGATTTGTAAGATTGAAGTTGTGAAAGATTTTATTTTACTTGGATCCACAATCAATGCCTATGGAAGCAGCAGTCAAGAAATCAAACAACATATTGCATTGGGCAAATCTGTGGAGGACTTCTTAAAAGTGTTGAAGAACAGATGTCACTTTGAAGATTAATGTGCACTTGACCAAAGTCCTATTTTTCAGTAGCCTTATATATGTAAGGACTGGACAATAAGGAAGACCACAGAAAAACTGATCCATTTGAATTGTGGTGTGGGTGAAGAATGTTGAATGTATCATGGACTGCTAGAAGAACACTTTTTTTTTTTTTTCATTTCGTTGTGTAAACACACAAGAAGTTCACCAATATAACAACTTCCACATTTACAGCTCAGGGACATTGATGACCCTGACATTTTTCATGTTATGCCATCATTATTGCTATCCTTTTCCAAAATATTCCACCATTTTTAGCATAAATTCAGTGCCCCCCAAACAAAAGCTTCTCTTTTTCCCCCTCCCTCCTACCTCTGATAACTGCTAATCTTTGGTACATGTATGTGTGTGTATTCTTTTTTTTTAATCTATCTAGAAATTTTCCCTCCCATCCCTGATAAACCAACAAAGAAAGTTTCCTTCTGTGTATAAATATTTCCTTGACTTTTTACAATAGTGGAATAATATGTCCTTTGGTGATTGACTTATGCACTCAACATAATGTCCTTCAAGTTCATCTGCTTTATATGGTGGTTTGCAGATTCTGCATTATTCTTTAGGGTCGCATAGTATTCCATTGTGTGTATGTACCACAGCTCTGTTCATCCATTCCTCAGTTGATGGACACTTAGGTTGTTTCCATCTCTTTGCTGTTGTGTATAGTGCTGCAATGAACATGGGTGTCCATATATCTATTCGTCTCTTGCCTCTCATTTCTTTAGGATGTATACCTAGTCATGGGATTGTTTGGAGATCTGGGAGTGTGAGACCTCATACTTTGTCTTCCTTTAGTAGTGCTTTGCTTATCTGAGGTCTGTCTTTATATGAAATTCAAACCAAAAAACCAGACTCACTGCCTTGAGTCGATTGTGACTCATAGTGACCCCCTTTGGGTTTCTGGGCAGTAAACCTTAACAGAATAGGTTGCCCAGTCTTCCTTCTGCAGAGTGGCTGGTGGGTTTGAGCTTTCTGGTTAGCAGTCAATGCTTTAGGCACTACACCACCAGAGCTCCTTCCATATAAAATTAATGACTGGTTTTTCCATGTCCTTAAAGATGGATTCTGGGTTGGCATTGCATTGAATGGATACAGATTGCTTTAGGTAGTGACATTTTTACCATGTTCTATCTTCCTGTCCATGAGCATGGTACATTTTTCCGTTTATGTAGATCTCTTATATGTAGTGTTTTGTAGTTTTCTTGGCATAGGTCTTTTGTGTCCCTGGTAAGATTTATTCCCAAGTATCTTTTTGGTAACTATTGTAAATGGTATTGATTTCCTTATTTCCTTTTCAGAGCTCTCTTTGCTGGTGTAGAGAAATTCAACTGATTTTTTTATGTTGATCTATCCTGCCACTATGCTAAATGTTTCAGTAAGTTCCAGTAGTTTTTTTTTTTTTTTTTTTTTTTCTCTTGGGTTTTCTATGTATAAGATCATATCATCTGCAAATAAGGATACTTCTCCCTTACCAATTCGGATGCCTTTGATTTCCCTTTTGTGGTGGTTAGGTTTGTGTGTCAGCTTGGCTGGGCCAGGTTGAGCGGCTGGGCAGCTGGTGGTAGTTATTCCCATGATGAGACTGGCAGTCAACTCCATGGTGGGATCTACCACAAGCAGCTGAGCAGCTGCCTTAGGGAGCGTGGTCTACTTCCTGTATATTTAAGTCTCTAGCTTATGGCACGCTTGGACCCTGCATGTAGACATGTCGTTCAGCAGCCTGCCCTGCTCTGCCGACCTTGGGACTTAAAATGGATTTAAATTAATGGCGTGCCGTGTGGTTTGGTAACATCGGGACTGTGCCATTTTACTTGTCAACGTTGGGCTTCTCAGCCTCAGCAGCCAGCAGCTGTCTGAGTGAAGAAACGCCTCTAGCTTCAGTGGGCTGGGAACCGAAGGCAGAGCTGAAGCCCAAGGCTGAGGGGCCTTCACCCAGCCCCTAGAGCCTGGCACTTTGAACTTGAACTTAAAGCCTCTAAATTGTAAGAATAAACTCATTTTTGTTAATTTGTGGTATATATTTCTTGTCAGAGCGGCACTAGGTAATCAGAACAACTTTTTTGCCTTATTGCCCTGGCTAGGAATTACAATACAATGTTGAATAGAAGTGGAGATGGAGGGCATACTTGTCTTGTTCCTGTTTACAAGGGGAATGGTTTCAGTCTCTCTATGTTGAGGATAATGTTGGCTGTTTGTTTTGCATATATGCTGTTTATTGTGTTGAGGAATTTCCCTTCTATTTCTATTTTTCTGAGAGTTTGGGTGTTGGATTTTATCAAGTGCCTTTTCTGCATCTATTGATAAAATCATGTGGTTCTTTTCCTTTATTTTACTTAGAGATTAGGTTGATTGTTTTCTGTCCTTGCATACTTGGTATGAATCCTACTTGGTCATGATGTATTGTTTTTTGTTTTTTTTTTTTGATATGTTGTTGAAGTCTATTGGCTAGGATTTTGTTGAAAGTTTTTATATCTATATTTATGAGGTATATTGATCTGTAGTTTTCCTTTCTAGTGGTCTCTGCCTGGTTTTAGTATCAGAATTATATTTGCTTCATAAAATGAATTTGAGAGGATTCTGTCCTTTTCTATGTTTTGAAATAGTTTGTTGAGTAGGATTGGTGTCAGCTCTTCTGAATGATTGATAGAATTCTCAAGTGAAACTATCTCAGCCAGAACTGTTTTTGTTTGTTTGTTTTTAATTTTTCAGTGACCTGTTCGGTTTCTTCTTTTGTTATGAATCTCTTCAAATTTTCTACTTCTGTCTGTGTTTGTTTAGGTAAGAAGTGGTTTCTAGAAATCTGTCCATTTCTTCTAGGTTTTCAGATTTGTTGCCATACAGTTCTTCATAGTATCTTGATACTATTTTTTTCTGTTGGTTCTGTTGTGACATCACCCATTTCATTTCTTATTCATGTTATTTGCATCTTCTCCTTTTCCTTTGTTAGGTTTGCCTGTGGTTTATCAATTTTATTGATCTTTTCAAAGAACCAACTTCTAGTCTTACTAATGTTTTTCTATTGTCTTTCTATTTTGTTTCATTTATTTCTACTGGAAGCTATACTTTTGTCTTTTGGTGACTGTAGGCCTTTTTTTTTTTTTTTTCGCTGATCTTTTTCTAATTATTGGAGAGGTTGGGTTACGGTTGATTTTGGCTCTTCTTTTTTGATGTGTGCATCTATTGCTATAAATCGACCTCTGATCATTGCTTTTACTGTGTTCCAAAGATTTTGGTATGTTCCCATTCTCTTTTAATTCAAAGAATTTTTTAATTTCATTTTTATTTCTTCTATTACCCAGTCATTTTTGAGGAGGGTATTATTTAGTCTCCATGCATTGGCTCTTTCTCCATTGATCTTCCTAATGTTGATTTCTAATTTTATAGCATTGTATTGTGATAAGATGTTTTGCAGTATTTCAATGTTTTAA